AAGCCTTCTTGTAAGTAACTTGCATATTAAACTTATCTTTCAACTCGGCCTGCACAGTTAAAACACTCAGATTTGGTTGGGCACGTACCAAATGCTTCACAGACTCAGATATAACGTCGACATCAAGATGATGATGATCCGTCGGTTGATTCGTATTGCTACAAGAATGCACCAACTCGGCCTTTCTCACATTCCATTTGTTTCCAACATCTCGACATCCAAACAGCACCATCCAAGGACAATTGTTATCCTTATTCTTAAAGCATCTGATCTTCAAGATTAAAGGTGACGACTCCACCACGACATACTGAAAGTTGCGTTGTAGTGGGTGGTATTTAACCGCCACCTGTGCAGCTTTTCCGAGTGAAATATCTGCCCCTTGTAGAATTCTCCTTCAAAACCAGCAACAATAGGCATTGGAATTATGTCATATGAATCAATATATGATAATTCGCCGTCCACTTCATTACCCTACAAGTAAAAATATGGAGGATAATTAGGCTGCTCTCCTTCCCTATCTTCCTCCTCCTCCTCCTCTCTGTCATCGTAGTCATGATCGGATGGCACGCTCCATGTCTCATCTTCTTCCTCTCCACCCTGATCCTCACTGAGCTCGCCATGTATCTCAACACCCAAACAATAAGGGTGATGCGCCATAAAATCGAAAAGCACATTCAAGCTATCATCATTCACAATAGGCATCGCATAATGAAATAAAACACCATTTTGCCATTCTGGAAGACAGTAAGTGAAACCTGTGATCACATCACTATCTTTTACTGTTTTGTCTTTACGCCGTATTCTCGGAATTAGATTCTCACAAAGTTTGTTATATGTCACCCTGGATGGAATTGTCAACTGAAAAATTCTACAACCAATGAAATGGACGCCCAAATTGTCCTCTACTTTCTTTGATTTCCATTGAACGACTAGTTCAAATCTTCTAAAATCACTACATAAAAAAAACTCACTAATTACTAACTAAACAAAATCATAATAGCATTTGAAGAATATAATTAAAAAAATAAATGTGTCTCTTACCTATTAGCCATCTTTGCAGCAACCAGAGCTTCTCTCGTCTAACTTCGTTGATTCGATTTTTTTGGTGATGAGCAACTGAAAGGAAATTCGCTGGTTAAATGGTGCTCGAGTGGGTGGGTAAGCCAGCGAACCCGCCTTTGTCTCCGGCGCCTACGCTGGGTGAAATTTCCCACCAAACCCGCCTCAATCTCTAGCGTCTCCGCTGTTCAACGATTTTGGACATTCAAAAACCAAAAAGAATGGCGCAAACGCCCCAGCCTCGGGCGCCTTTGCTCAAATCGATTCAAAAAAACAGAAATCGCGGCAGAACCTGAGTCTCGGGCTGTCTCGCCGATTTTGCTCTCCAAAACACAATATTTGTGTAAATAGTTTTGTACCGCCATATTTGTGGTAAAATAAAAAAATATATTTATGGAATTCTCCCGCCCGCTACGGAGTGCGGAAGACCCATCTTGTATATAAATAAAAACAGAAAAATTACCTGTTAACCTCTACTTTGTGAACCGAGCCGGATGCTGAACCGGAAAAGAGAGTGGTTTATGGTTCAGTGGTTAATCGTTACAAAACGTTAGTGAACCGTTAATGAAATATAACACACAAGACCTGTATAGTACACTAATTTAAGAATGAAGTTATCACTAACCATAAATAATTTCAAATTCATATCATCACAAAGTTATCCAACAAATCATTCACACTGTCTCAAAAAATTAATCATAATTTTTTAAATTCAAGTTAAAAGTTACGGTACTAGTCGGTAGTAGACCACGTAAAGTCGACAATGAGGTTAGAAAATGAGATGAGGAAGCAACAATAAAATTAATAATTTTAGTTTGATGGTCTTAGTTTACTTTAAAGTATTTTTTTTAATTGTTGGTAAGATGTGTCAAAAAGTGGACCAGTTAAACCCTAGTGGTTCATATGACTTTATGTTGAACCGTGAGAAATGATTTGATCCATTATTAACCGTCCAAACATTGAACCGAACTGTTGTCGTAACAGATTTGACGATTCTACTGGCCGACCCGTTAATCCGATTCGGTTCTTATAACAACGCTATTAACAACACTTGGGCGTTGGGTCGTGCTTGGGCCGGCACGGCAAGGGCACGCTTAGGGCCCGTTTATTTCGTGTCGTGCTTGGCACGTCCTGTCAGTTTTGTGTCGTGCTGTGTCAGCCCATTTGTTGATTTTGCTAGGTCCGGCCCAGGCCCGGACATGGTTTTTATCGCGTCGTGCTTATATTCTTGTTTAATGAAAAGAAAGAAAATAAAAGAGGAAATGAAAAAGAAGGAATAAATTGGATAGAGAATGAAAGTATTAACCGAGAATGTTCAAAAAAATGTAACAAATAGGGGGCGAAAGAAAATTGGAAGTATAGCGGGTGTGATTTGACTTTGTTTAATACTTCGTCTATTTTTACTTATGGTAATAATTACGTATATATATTATGATCACTTCTAACAATAGTAAATAATTTTTAATGTACTTGTATTTTTTAAGATTCGGACCTATAATCCTTTTTATATTTATTTTCTATCAAATAAATATTCTTTTCGTGTCATGTTCGTTCTTATACACAATACAGTCTCGAAAATATTAGGTCCGACACAGCTCATTTACATACCGTATCGTACGCGTGCTCATGCCTGTGCCCATGAAATTTATGTCCGTCACAACCTATAAATTATCCATGCTTGATGCCGGACCGGCCTATATATTTCATACTCGTACTCGTGTCGTGCACTTACCGTACGGTGCCGTGCTAGCCTGTGGGCTGCCCGGCCCCTTGCCCACGTACACTAACGGGTCTTCGCCTACGGCATAAAGATAATAAGAGCAGCAGTACTGCAGCAGTATTGTCAATTGTGGAACGTGAGGCCGCCAGCATTCACCAATGGGAGAGCGACAACAATCCTGCTACCTGTCTTCTGAAGGCGAAGCGGTAGCGTTAAGTCACCAAATCCAAAACTTGACTTCACTACTACTGCCTGGCGACCGGATCCAAAGAGAACCTTAACTGAGAGAGCCCACAGCCAACGCAGGAGACGGCGGAGTCGCACAAAGGGGATAAGTTAGCGCCCTTTTGTTTAGTAGTATGGTTTTCTCATGAAGATGAAAAATATTATTACAGAAACAAATCAATGCAACATGTACGTCAGTGGTGTACGTAGGTGCTATTACAGGGCTGAAAAGGTAAGAAGAGGAGAAGCAAGAAAAAAATGAGTAGGATGGAATGGAAATCAAGCAAAAAGAAATCATCGGCAGCAGGGTGAGGAAAACACAGCTCCAGTCCCGGCAAAACTAAACAAAAAAGCATAAAAAAACCAAGTAGAGACAAGCAGAAGCGCATCTACACTCAAGAGCCATTTCCTAGGTGAAATAATAATAATAATAATAATTTTAGAAAACTCAAAAAGTGGTAGATGTTATTAATTGCTGATCACCTTTTTTTTCCAAATGCCACTGTATAGAGGTGGCAAATGGATTGATCCATTCATTGGTGGATTTATGGATCAAATGTATTGGATCAAATGGATTGGTGGATTTATGAATTGAATTAAGTGGATTGGTGGATTATCCATAAATCCAAATGACATCCTCAACGAAGGACCAATATGTAAAATGTGAAAAGTTTAGGTACTAAAATATCATAATGAAAAATTTTAGATACCAAACATAATTTTCCAATGATATTTTTCATATAAAAAATAAATTTTGGGTACAAAATGTAAAATATAAAAATATAGGTGCCAAACCATAATTTATCATTTGGATCCATGGATCAATCCATGAATCCACCAATCCAATTGGATTTGGATCAAATGGATTGAGTTTAAATGGATTGGATTAGGTGGATATTTTTAATGGATTGGTGGATTGGATTGAGAATTGTCACCTCTAGCATTGCATATATAGTCATGATTAAAGTCATTTTGAGCTCCTTCGAAAGATTCTAGATTATATAATTAAGAAATATATAATGTGTCGCGCACAAGTAGGGCTGGGAAACGGTGTGGTCTGGTTCAGTCCAGACCATATATACGGTCTATGGTCCAGACCGAGAGGTTGAAGTATAGACCACAGACCAGACAACGGACTATACGGTCCGGTCCAGACCACGCCTGTGCGGTCTGGTTTGGTCTGGTCTGGTCCAGATGGACCACACTCAACGAAAAATGAATAATTTATTTAGTCAACCACACAAAAAATTGAACCAATAACAAAGAAAAATAATTGTTATTTGCCTTAAAACATTAATCCTAACATGCATGAATAATTTTGATACCCTAAATCTTAGTACATAACAAAGATACAAAGCAAAAGCATCCAAACTTGCACCATAACGTCATAAACATTAACATAATGTCATGTGGAGACACGATTATCTCTACTCTATGGTTAAATATGGTTGTAAATGAAGGAGGGACGAGATTCAAAAAACTAAGGTTGAGAGTTGGATGTCATTGTGGGAGTTGGGAGAGTGGTCGAATGGGCTGTTAACACGTATTGACAGGTCGGTTGGGTCCACGGTTTGGTCCGGTAAACCGCGGTCTAGATCTGACCAGACCAGACCAAGAGATCAACACATAAAATAATATAGACCATGGACTAGACCAGACCATACTTAACGGTCTACGGTCCGGACCAAACTGTGCGGTACGGTTTAGACCACGATTTTTCTAACGGTCTGATCTATTTTCCCAGCGCTACGCACAAGTCTCATATGATTCGATTTTGAGTAAAAACGAACACTGTGTGTTCATTCTGTGACCTAGAAACAAAAACGTCTCTGAAAAAATCAGGAAAATTCTAGACACGATGGTTTGCCTGTGTACAGAAGCAAGCAATATACGTTGATATATTGTTGGCTATGTGCATGCCATTATTTAGCTTTCTTTTGGTTGATCATACAAGGAAGTCCGTGAAACACCATTAACAAAGAAGTCACCGAAATCTAAGTTGACTTAGCTTATCCTCCTAAAGAGCGAATGTCAAATAATGGTCTCGCTGGGCTAAATAAATAACTAGTATTGATATATGTAACAAACAAGTTATTATTCAATGAGAAAAAGGGGTGCAAAGCTCACTGGACTACAGTTTCTAAACCTGTAGGATTATGCCCTTAAACCCCCCCAAAAGAAAGGGGACTAAAAAACGAATTAAGCAACAAAAAAAAAAAAAAGAGGTAAGGAAAGGAACTAAAAGAGGAAGGGAAGTGAGAAGAAGGAATGGGCAAAAGCATTAATGTAATGTATTTATCCTCCTGTTCTGGCTGGATATTTTTAACTTCTTCCCATTCCAGTCCTCAAACTTGCAATTTTTGTCCGTCTATCTTTCCCCAACCTTTTATTGTTACATCACCGCACAGGCATTGGGATTTTCGTCGCTAAAGATCTGCGGCGGATAGGCGTACAATTCCATGGCGGACCTGGGCGGGTAGTAAATATACTCATCCCTCTTCACCTCAACCACTTTGGTCTCTTCTCCAGCAGCTGGCGCTTCCGCCGCCTTGGCGTCACTCTCACCTTCCTTCTTCTCCTCCGGCTTCGGATCCTCTCCACCACCGCCGCTGCCTTCTTTCTTGTCCTTTTCCTCGCCGCCGACGTCAGCAGCTGCGTCGTCGCCTTTCTTCTCTTCCTTGGATTCTTTGCCGCCTTCGTCCCCGCCTTTGCTTTCTTCCTTCTTTTCCGGCTCTTGCTTCACGATCAAAGCGTGCTTCCCTGTCCTTTTGTGCACGTACTCCACCAGCTTCTCCGCCTCCAACACTCCCTTCACCGTCACCTGAGAGCTCTTCAGATCTGCTTCTGCCGATTCCACCCCTATTCATTTTAACACGCACGAGCAAAAGTTTAGCCTAGGGAGAAAAAAACAAAAAATGCCCACGAGAAGCTGACTCAGATTCAGATCCGTTTTACAAAGAAAGTAGATGGCTTTTTGCTTTCAATTCCCATTTGGGTTTGTTGGGATTTATGACACCCACAAAGCGGTTGTTTAATCACTAAGCAAAGAAAAGGAGGAAGCTGAATTGACTTCAGTGGGAATAACAATTGAATTTGGATTGACGGGTATGGGAATATCAAATCATTAAAAAGAATTGGACTTTCTTTAGTCCTAAATCCTAATCAATTCTTTCTGCCTCGGATTCAAAAGTTGGTGAGATTAAAAGCAAAAGAAAAAGGGAAGCAAGCAGATTTGTGGTCTAGAGAACAGAGTGAGAGGTGGTGGGGAAAAAAATGTGAATCACCCACCAATAATAACACACACGCAAATCACAACTACAAACTGAACCCACAAATTGCATGAAACCAATCCAGAAAGTAATACCAAAAGAAGAAGAATTGAGTTGAAACAATGGAAATGAAATGAGACCTTTCATTCTCAGTATCCTTTTCTTGATCTCCATGGCGCAAGCTTCGCAATGCATGTAAACCTGCAGCACAACGGTGATCACTGGTGGAGGCTGCAGCTCCAATTGTAAAGAAGCCACCGACACCCAATTAATTATCAGCCGCTGCTTGCTTTAATGAATTGAACAAAGGGGGTAAAAAGGAATCGAAGAACAGAGGAATAGAAAAGAAACCTCGGGCTTGGGGTCTTGAGGCGGCTTGGGTTTCTCATCTTCGGCTTTCTTCTTATCGTCTTCAGAAGGGGGCTTTGGGATTGGGGAGATGAGCTCCACTTGACGATGGCTCTTCCTCTGAATCCTGTCCAGCACCTTCAATGGATCCGCTTTCTCTCCCTTCACCACAACCTTGCTGGTTTTGCAATCCGTCATCACATCTTCAACCCCTGTATCCAAAAGTAAATCCAACCACCAAATCAATCAGAAAAAATCAAAAACAAAAAAACCAGAGAGTGTGGGTGAGAGAGAGAGAGAGAGAGAGGGCCAACCGTCGAAGCCTTTGAGGCAGCGGCGCACCTTACGGGCGCAACCTTCACAATGCATGTAAACCTTGAGGACAATCTCTTGTGGTGGAGGAGGAGGAGGCGCCGCCTCCTCCACCTTGGGTTCCTCTCCTCCTTCTTTCTTCTCATCCCCAACCGGTTTCTCCGCAGCCGCCGGTTTGTCTTCCTTCTTCTTCTCTTCCTCGCCCTTTTTCTCCTCTGCTTTCTTCTCTCCTTCCACCGCCGCCGCGGGTTTCTTCTCCTCCTGAATCGAAAACAGAGAGATGAAACACTGAGCTAAAAACGCAGAGGAAAACTGAACTGATTGATTGATTTGAATCTTAGGAATATTAGGAAGGAATGGGGAAAAAAAAAGGCGTCGAACCTCGCCCATTTGGCTCGGTTTTCAGATTCAGAAGCGAGTGCAGTTTGTTTGTGAAGGTTGAAGGAGATAAGCTCTGAAGCAGAGGGAAATTTGTTGTGGGGTGGGTGATGATGCTGTTACCGTTCACTGCTGCTTCTCTCTCTCTCTCTCTCCGAGTATGAGATGACTGGTGTGCCTCTGTATGTGTGAAGAAGGTGGCAGGGAGGGTTTTTAACTTTTATGTGTGCGTTTGATGGGTGGGACTGGGGGATGGCAGGCTGCTGGGTATAATTTCAATTATTAATTAATTAATTAATAAATATTATGCGAGCGAGGTTTCCACCCACAACAAATTAAAATCAACTCGTTACCGTTTACTTGTTTCTAATTCTCACTTCTCGGTGTATTAATAACAACAACGAAAGGGTTAATCACGTTTTTATGGCCGAGCTTTTAGGGGTCGTTTGCTTGTTGGATTTGAAAAATGAGGGTTTTGGCTAAAAAAATCTTTGAATTTATGAGAGATTTGTATCATCATGGATTTGAAGAGTCTATTGTTTCCATGATAGATTTGATTATATAATTATGATGGATTTGCTATAAATATAACTAGCCATCAAGGTTTACAAATCTCACCCCAATATGTGGGATTTACAAGTCCGTGGGGTCCACGGATTTGGATAAAAAAAGAGAACAAATCCGTGGACCCCACGAATTTAACACCTAACAACAAACAATGGACTTGACTAAAATTCATCATGTTTGGGATTTGAATTCCAAATCCATGACCCAAATCCACAAGTAAATGACCCATTAATTTTCACTATATATTTTGTTGACTACATTTTTGCATAATATGCCTATGAAGCAAATGGTTGGTAGTTGATATTCAAACTAACGCCTTTAGTTCATTTTTAATTACTCCAAGAAACGTTAGGACCCCTTGCAAATATGGAAACTAAATAAAAGTAAGAAACTCTCATGTTTTTCTTTGATTCAACACATCCACCCATCTAACCCGTTTAGTATTGTTGCCTGTTTTTGTTTCCTGATGTGTTTTTAAAGATTGGAGAAACCAAGAAGAAAAAACATGTTTAGTTGGGTTTCTATTTTTTTTGTTGTGAATCAGATTTGCACAATAAGGCCCAAATTAGAGAAACAACAATTTATTGCTTTGGATTTGATTCTTGTATTTGTTTTACACGGGTTTCCAATTGGTTGAGGATCTGTTTTCATTAAACCAACTCACAGTTCGAATCCCACCTCAACCAAAACTTCAATTTTTTTTTACCCCTAAACCCTCTACCCTCTTATTTCTCCCAAACCTACGCACAACAGCTCTTCCCAAACCCTCTATCCTTTCCCCCAGCCGCCTCATCGCCAACCTCACACCCACCCTCCCGCCGGCTCCCTTTCCCCTCACCGCGCACCGGCCGCCGCCGCCAGCAGAAGCCCCGCGCGACCACCCTCTCGCCGACGTCCAATCCCCTCCCGCCGCGACCACCCTCCCGCCGCGCCAGCCGCCAGCAGACGCCTCGCGCCGCCGACTCCCTTTCCCTTCCCTGCGCGACCACCCTCCCGCCAGCTCCGACCCTCCCGCCGCGAGGACCATCCCGCCATATCTCTATTTTTTGGTCGAGGACATATCTCTCTTTTTTGTTTTTAGTTCTTATAGTAGTAACTAAACGCGTTTTTGTTTCTTGTTGTCAGCTTTCATGATTTTTCAGATTTATCAACTAAACAGGTTTGTGTTTTCTGTTTTTTTTCCTGTTGTGGTTGTACATCTGTTTACACAACACCACTGCAACCACAACAGCAACAAAATGATACTAAACGGGTTGTGTTCAAATTGTGAGGTTACTATGATAACCGTTTTAACCAGTAGTATTTGGATAATTTGGTTTGCTTAATTTAGATAATTGGTTTGATTTGGTTAAACTTTTTAGTTTGTTGGTTTGGTTCTAAACACTTCTAACCAAATTAGCCAGTTAAGTAATTAGATGTATATGTATAATATATATTATCTACACATATTTAATACTTAGTGTAACCAACCAAGAGACAAACGTTTCTCCCTTTATACTCGTAAAAGATAAAGTTCAATATTGTTAATAAATTCTAATTTTTATTTATAGAGTGTAGACCATAACATATGAACGCCAAATTTGATAACAGACATACATTATATTGAATGATAATTCCTAAAAGACTTAAGTCAATTCATACAACACAATAATTCATGAACCCCATACCATTGACATATATTTTTGTTAGGTGAATACTTTCTGTAAGATAATTGTCTTAGTTACATGTATTTATGTTTAGGGTAACCATAACTATGTGTTGATTGTTATGGGTTATTCTTTATTTAATAATTCCAAATTGATGCATTGATCTAAATTTTTCTGACTTAATGATAATGTGGTGGGGAGCGGATACCGTGACAACCCCCTTAGTGGGTTGTCAGATTCACAACCCACTTCCTAGTTCTTCGATACGCTCTCTCTCCTGTCTCTTTCTTCTCTTTTTCAAATTGATGGTTAAGATTAAAGGAAAGGTATTTTTGGAAGGGAAAAAATTTAATACACCCAATCATTCACCCTCCCGTATAAATAGATAAAACCCTAACTCTTCCCTCCCTCCCACCCTCCTCCCTCTTCATGCAGACGACAATGTCGCCGCAAAGCTCCGCCGCTACTGTCGCCGCCCTCCGCCTCCCTCAACCCATGTCGCGCCCTCCAATGACGTCGTCCCGCAACATTCCGCCTCCCTCCAACCCCTGTCGAGTCCTCCAACGTCGCCCGTCGCGCCGTCCTAATCTCACTATTGCCACAGCCCTCCCGCCACCCCCATAACAACCTCCGCCTCCCACCACCGCGGCGCCATCACCCTCTCTCCATTGCAGCCCTCTGTCTCCCAACATCGCCGTTGTTGCGAGGTCATCGCCTCTCCCTTTCCTCATCCCCTGATTTTTTTTCCAGATCTATGATTTTCCATATTTCAACTCCGGTTTTTTGTGTTAGTCGCTGGTGGTAGCGTTACAAGTGGTAGTGGTACACTATCAGTGAGTACTGATAGCGCTACTAGTGATAGTGGTAGCGTACGACTAGCGCTGGTAGCGTACCACTTATCAGAATATGACTTGATTTTGGTTTGGGCTTTTGTTTTGTGTTTTAGGCCTATTCTGTTTGGGTTTGGGATTGGGTTTTGTTTTGACATTTTCTTTGTATGTTTGGGAAAAGGTGTTTGGTTTTCTGTTTGGGATTAGGAGAAGAGTTCTATAAATACTCTTCACCACCCTAACCTATTGTAAGGTCGGTCAGTTTAGTTTGTTTGGTTTGTCCGTTCAGTATTTGGGTTGTAACCTGTACTCTCCTCAAATTAGTGAAATTTGTTCTCCCCTGCCCGTGGATTAGCTAACACACATTGTGTTAGTGAACCACGTGAAATTCGTGTTCGTTTGTGTTCATCTGGATTATCGATTGCACGCTTCTGTTATGACAAGTGGTATCAGAGCCTTTGGTTGTGGTTTTGGAAATTTGGCGATGGATTGAAGTTTTGCTTAGTGGAGGTAGCTTTCAATTCTTTAGCTTGGTTCGGTGGAGGAATCGCTTTGGAGTTGACTTTGGGCAGTTGTGTTTTGGTCTCGCTTGTTTGGTGAGAAGTTTGGTTGGAGTTTGTTTGATAGTAAGAATGGCTGCTATCAGTATAAAGATTGAGAAGTTCATCGGAAGAAACAGTTTCAGTTTGTGACAGATCTAGATGCAAGCACTGTTGAAACAATAGGGTTTGTGGGCTCCATTGTCTAGAAAATCGAAGAAGGAAAGTATAGATGACGAAGAGTGGATTACTTTGGAGGAGAAAGCTCACTCTACAATCTTGCTTTGTTTGGCTGATGACATCATCACTGAGGTTGCTGCTGAGAAGACTGTCGCGGGCTTGTGGTTGAAACTTGAAAGTCTATATATGACAAAGTCTTTAACCAACAAGTTGCATCAGAAGCAACGTCTGTTCAATTTGCATATGGAGGAAGGTACATCTCTCACGAATCATCTAGATCAACTCAATACTATTTTGTTAGTTCTGCGAAATATTGATGTTAAAGTAGATGATGAGGATGCTGCCTTAATTCTATTAGTATCATTATCACGGTCATATGAGAATTTTGTGGATTCTTTTATTGTTGGGAAAGATAGTTTGTCTTTGGAAGATGTCAGATCTGCTCTACATACTAGATAAGTTCGACATAAGGTGTCTGGTTCAAATTCAGAAAATCAGGCATCTGGGTTGGCTGCTACGAGTAGTAGGAGACAACAATCTGGTAATAGAAAGGCGAATACAAATTCGAATTCTGCCGGTTTGAAAGATGATATCTGTCATTACTGCAAGGGGAAAGGACATTGCAAATTTGATTGTCCTAAACTAAAGAAATATCAGGAAAAGAAGGAATCATCTGCTGTTGTGGCGGAAGAAACTAACTCTGATTCTAAAGATGGTTTAGCCTTAGCAGTGAATGAGCAGGTACATCATCAGGATGTCTAGTATTTAGATACTGCAGCTGATTATCATATGTGTCCAAGCAAGGAGTGTTTTTCAACTCATGAGCAGATAGATGGAGGACATGTTTCTATGATCAATGGTGCTATCTGTAAGATTGTTGGGAGAGGCTCTGTCCGGATAAGGACACATGATGGTTTTGTTTGCACCTTGAACAATGTTAGACATATTCCAGAGATGACTAAGAATCTCATATCTTTGAGTCTACTAGACGGTAAGGGTTTCAGTTTCAAAGGTGAAGGTGGAGTGTTGACTGTCTACAAAGGTTCTAAGGTGATTCTGAAAGGTGTCAAGGTTGGTGCCTTGTATAGTCTACAAGGTTCTGTTTGACATGTTCTGTTGGTGATGAGTGCACCAAGCTAGTTCTGAATGGCAAGTCTCAACATGGGTTAGACTTGCCGAATGATTTGATTTGTTGACCGCCCTCAGGGGCATTTGGAGGCAGGGGAGATTCTGTTACATTTTGGAGATTTGGAGAGTTGGTTACGTCTGACGATTTTGATTGCATATGAGTTTGGCGATTTGCATCGCGTCTGAGTTTGGTGATATGTATCGCGTCTAGGTACATCTGGCAACTTTGGTTGCGTATGGTACATCTGGTATTTGCAGGGTTCAAGAAGGCGCGCCTAGGCGCAC